CTTTCACTTGGTTTATTGTCACTTTCTAGTTCATTTGGATTTGTGTTAGAGCCACAGAATGTGGGTAATACACAAGTAGCTTTACATAGTGGGTTTTCAGTACAGTCTGAGCAGTCCTGCAGTGCGCTATTATCTGACACAAAGTGTTCCAGTAAATGATTTCCATTGGCTAAAACAAACAAACAAAAAAGCATCAGGGATTAATTCTTTACCCTTTTTAAAGTGTAAATAACAAGTTTGCCAACTTTGAAATAATTTCCTTCATTTGGGTCTATAACATAGCTTAAAATTAGAAAAATATTTAGTTATATGGTCCTTAGATTGGATGGCAGAGGAAACAGATTAAAGGTAATGCTGAAAATTTTAATTATTATGTAGCATTGTACAGACAGAAAATACTTAATCAAAAACACAGTTTGTAATATGTAGTACATCTGATACAAGTATGTCTAATTTGGGGTCAAATGTAGAGCTTCTCCTGCTTGGCGTTCCGTTCTTACCAGATGTTTGTTCTTTCCAATGGACTTTCTTTGTTTTCTTCTGGCGTGTAACAGACCCAGAGGAGCTTTTATCTCCATTGGATTTAGCCACTCCATGTTGGCCAACAGTAGACATTTCAGGCTCATCCACATCATCATATTCTTCACTGGAATCTGGAATAACACAACACATGATCAAAAACTGTACTAGGGCATAATTTATGGATGTTACCATAGCAAAAACACACCTTAAATGGTCGTGCCAATCATCAAGAACTGGGCCATTTACATAAATATGTATGTTACGAGCAGCGTTGTTTTGCACATGTTGTTTCTTACCAGTTACTCCATTTTCTGACTTTTGACCTTGCGTTACGCGCCTTGAATGAACGGCATGTCCAGGGAGGTCTTCATTACCCTCAGAATCTTCATTTGCGTCTGTATTATGTCAATTAGAAAAAGGGAAAAACTTAGCCTTTAAAGTCAGTGGTATTTAAAGAAAAATCTAGATTGTATTTTTCTGTAGTTGGACTTATTACTGCACAATGTTATTGAGAAATATGATCAGGGTTGTTTTGCTGAACCTTTTTGGCTCACACCAATACGTTTAACTTGTGTTCTGCAAATACACAACAGTGCTATGAAATCCTAGTAAGCAGCTCTGTAAGATCAAAGAGCTATTATTACTATGTCACACTTAATCCAAGCACTGACAGGCAAAGATTATCTTTTAGCTAACCAGCCATGAGCCAGCCATGATAACTTAATCTCCCGTGTTGCTCTTTTGGAATAATTGAAAGTAAATAGCAGCAAGTCTGCTTGTTTTGCTCATAAACACCAATTTTTACCCACTACTGACTACTCACTGCAGTGCTGGAGGTGGATATGCATTTGTTAGGTATATATCTACTTTACCTGTTACCTTGTCAAAATCCGCTCGACCAGATTTGGTGTGTTTCTCGTTCTTGGGGTCATGTACCCTCAGTTGCACATCTGCTTTTGTTACACACCCTGAAATGTCTAATTTGGATACTGTGCCATCTCCTTTTGCGTTTTTGCTTTTTGTTTTCCCTTTTCTCCCCACTGGCTGAGCACTGGCTTTTGCAGCGTCAGCCTTGTCTTTTATTGCTCCAGCATTTTTATCCGGTTCAGTGATTTCAGATATTTTACTGTCTCCTCCACCAGTGGTTATTGTCATTTTTTCTTTCGGTTGTCCTCCTTCATGTTTTGCTTTAACAGATGCTAAAATCTTCTCCATCTCCTGTCGATATTTTATTTGCTGCTCTTTGGCCACTTTGTCAAGGTCAATCCGCGATCCACCTGCCAAGGTAGTTTTACGAGCTATCTTCTTACCTCCAGCAAGGTTACTCTCAGCTTAAAGGTTGTGAAGTAGAACATACGTGACACATTTATTTGTGAAAATCATTACTCCTGATCATGGCAGTAATTAGGATTACATGGGTACAGAGGGGTAAATTGATTATTCTTGCAATGTACTGTAAGGTCTTACCTTCCACAACCAGCCAGGCGCTGCAGGATGTAATTCCAGCCACGGCTGAATAGATGCCTTTGTCCAACTGCTGGCAGTCCTTAATCAGCAGCCTGTGAACTAACTTGTGGTCTGACACGGTTGTACTGTATTTTTCACCATCCTCCAGGGTACTACCTTTTCCCTTCCATGTAATCTTAGGTAGTGGGTGTGTCAGTACACACTCAAACAGGGCATCCTCTCCTTCTTTGACTTTAGTCTCCTGAATTTTAATAACAAAGTCCACACTGGAAACTGAAAAAAAAAAAGGATTAAACATTAAATTTGCCTTTGGAATATTTGGATACTCCATTAAGTTGCAAGTCTCAGCTTTAATTAGTATGTTTTCATAAGTATATAAAGAAGAGTGTGTGAGATGTAGCTATTTAAAAGAGCTGAAGAGTAAGTCAACACTTGGCTCTCAAATATTTCTTGAGCAGCTGTATGGTTTCAATGTTAGCTCATGCACAAAATAGCTCAGGATTGAGATACCATTTATTAGACTGAGGTGGGGCTTTCTGAATATATGAAGAGTGAAGTTGGAACTATGCAATTCAAGAAGATAATAAGGTAGGGAAAAAAGCAATAATCTGCCACAAAGATACCAATGGAAATAGGTTGAGTACCTGGCAGCAAGTATCCCACAGTGATTGTGTTGGTTTAAAAGTCCTATTTGGGTGAAGTTAAACATTGGATGCTACCTGTCAGCGTTGCGTTGCAGTGATAGCTGTGGACTGTGCGTTTACCAAAAGTTCTAAAAGAAAACAGTTCTTAAAAGTATGATCTTCTAAATGGACCTCAAATGCTAAATTAGTATTGTTAGACACTTGAACACATTCGATTTTTTCTTTCAATCCCAGCCAGTTTCTTTTTTGAACCTACGCTTAAACTCTGCAGAGAAGATGTTGAATTCTTCAGCATCCACTTGATTCAGCTCTGCATTGCGGCGGTTGATCTCTTCAACATCCCCCTGATAGAAGTCTGTGTCATCTTGTATCAGGCCTTTAATTCCGAAATCCTTTGTCCTCCCAACACTCCTAAGATCGTGTGTCTGTATTTCATCTTCATCATAGGGAATTACACCATCCTGCAAGGTGCACAAAAGAGTTACAGACAAGATTAAACTTTAATATTCTGACTATTGAGAGGATCATTTTGCTATGTGATATATTTTGCATTTTAAAAATGTCAACACCGATCAACATTTTCCAGTTATTTTTAAAGGTGCACTGTGAATCTGAAATAAGTCTGAGACAAGTACATAGCACTCACTGACTGCTCTGTTATAGGTACGAATACCTAAATAGTCAGCAGTAGACTGTTCTCTGATGTATATATTATGTGTTATTGCTGTTTTGTGATTAAAAAGTGGTAGAGCAGATTGTTCACCAAGGTTTGCAAAGTCAGTGGTTCGATTCCCAGCTTCCTGGGCGAGACACTGAACCCAAAGTTGCTCCCACTGGTAGCTTTGTCGCTACTGGTGTGTGGATGAGTTGGTAAATGGGCTTTGAGTATGGCTCACGTACAAAACAGCGCCATATACATGCAGACTATTACCCTCACTCATACACTGTATACCAGTGCAACAATAACGACATCACCGGCAATCATTATGAAGCTTTGACTTTGGAATTTCACTGTTGCCAGTTTTAGGTTTATTGAAACTGAATGTAAATAGCAGACTGGAGACGAAACAAATGACGACACAATAGTGACCTGGCAATCACAAGGTAGCCTCTCCTTTAAATATACCCCACATTTGTCTATTTTACTGTAAATAGAACCATAATTTACAACATTTACACCATACTGTATTGAAAAGGTCTTGAAACTAGAGATTGAGACCTTAAACCCATAAGGAAAGTGTTTACTGAGGTAACCAATCAAGGGAGAAGTAGAGACTTTTAATACAATCTTCCTTTTTTTTATTTTTTATTTTTATTTTGGCAACAAGTAGAATCGCCCCCTGCTGGCCATTTGAAAGAATACAGATTTAAGGCATTTTTGCATTGGTTTTACTTTCACTTTGTAGACCCGAACCTACGTCCATTTATTAAATACAGTATATGGATGCACAACTGTAGTTTTTGCATTTCTAAAATTTGGCACATTGCATCATAGGCATGTTGACATGAAGCAGTTTGTAGGAAATGTCACTGCAATAAATTTTGTAAAAGGCACATACAGAAGTGTAATATAACAATAGGGAGGGATTACAGACACAGTCAGTGTGGCAGTTAGAGATCTCTTGCTAGTTTCTCTGAGCATCTTTTAGCTGAATTTCCAGCTCTAATGAAGCACAGCCGTCTTTTGTACCTGTTTTCTGATACTGACAAGAGAGGTAAACATCTGATCACGATGGGAGTCAGAGAGACCTTGGAAGTGAGAGGAATAGAATCAATGACATGAAATGAGCAGTGAAAATGGATAATAATTGCCCACAAGTAAATATTTCAAATGCAGTTCTTCTGTTCATTATGAGTATAACTGGATTTGAATGATCAACTCATCATCACTACACACATTAATATGGCTTGGTGACTATTCAGTATGAACATGACTTTTCCAGAATTTTCCCAAGACAAAACAGCTGACTGGTCATTTTAGTCCAGCTGGCTGCTTTATACTACACACTTTTTAATTTGCTAAAGCAGTATTGATGAGCAAGTTGCAGTTTGCTGTGAGGGCATAATTTGCCACAAACCTTCTCAAAAACAGACCATTATGATGGTGGTGAATGTTCAGCCCAGAGGTTGCTGTCTTCGGTGTTTGACAAATATTCGCAAAATAACCGATGACAAAACCCATTAGGAATCGCATTGATTGCACAGACAAGAGACATCCTCATTAGATGGGCTGCTTAGGAAAACACCGGTGGCAGCACCTTGTCAATTGTGCAGCGAGCATTAAAAAGCCCACTGAATTAGTCGCAGTTTTCAGAACTGCCAAACGGATATTTATGGACTTAATGCATAAAAAAAATCAGTTAATTATTGTTCTCTAAGACACATTGCAAACACTAACACTGACAATTGTCCTAAAGTGACAGGCCTTTATCTAAGACTCACATTGTAATTTGACAGTTTAAAAATGCCCTAAAAAGTTTTCAAGTGTTTAACCACTGCACAATCATCCTAGTTAGGGTTTTAGAAATAAAACATAATGGATGAGAACCTCCTGCTGCAAGCATATACGTTTTCCATATTGTGCGTTTTATCCATGGTTTACATTCCTGCTCATCTTGTTGTTGATGATTGTTTTCTCCTGCTTTTTGTATAATAAAGTCACTTTTTTCTTAAATCACGCCTGCATAGTACGAGTAGGTGTGGAATGGGTTAATACAGAGGAAAAAGATGAGGAAAGATGGTGCCCAAAGGAAAGCTAGAGATAGAGATGATGCCAGTAAATGAAGAGCAATACAACGCATAAGAACTTTATCACGGTCTGTTACAGTAATTCACGATACATTTACAATCTGGCAGGCACACGCATTAAAACCTGCAATAATTAAGATCAATGCATATGATGAAATAGTGGCATCAGAATGTTTTACAGGCCACCAGATTTTGGCTTTTAAAGTGGGAAGTCCTGCTTTTCACACTTTATCAGTACCAGATGTCCTCGGGGACACAATAAATCTCTTGGGGAAGGTCTCATCAAGAAGTACATTTACTGTTTAGCAGAAGATAATGCATTTGGTGTGAGGGCTGAGAGTTTTCATACCTTACACTTATTTTGTGCTCTCTCCTTCTTCTTCTCTTCAAGTTTCTTGAGAATCAAATGCAAGTCTGTAACACCGAACTCAGAACAGATGCGCTCGTAGTCTTTCCTGTCAGCATTCAGCATTGCATCCCAGAACTTTTCGTCACTTTCTCCATCTGCTCTCTCTACTTTGCTGAAGATATGAGACAAATATTAAATATAATGCAACTGGCTGTCAGAAAAAGGTTCACCGGTAACGTACACACACTCATGCAGAAACGCCTGGTTTGACATTTTGATAGCTTGTAGTTTCTTACCTCTTTTTCAGCAGTTTTCTGAAATCTGCCGGATTTGTCGAAGCTGAAAGCAGCACATTCAGTTCAAGGTTTGTGTTTTTTGCAAACATTTCCAGCTGAACTGATGGTTTTAAGTTAGATTAAACTATACATACACATTGAGTCACTCACAATATCTTACTATATATTATATATAACAACATATATTGCACTTATTTCAAAATTTGTTTTCGAGTCATTTCAGTGCAGACTAGGAAATGATAAAGACTAAAACTGCCTCACATATACAACGAAAAGCCAGTGCTCACAATCATGCTTTAAGATGTATTGCATAGATATATCTTACCCTCAATTACAGTCAATGTTGTCGTGCAGACAGCTTTTCCATATTCGTTCACAGCGTGGCATTTGTACGTATCAGTCTCTGCACCCGACACTTTGTGAATCTGGAAATACAAATAACTGACCAAATTCACACAGCAAATAGAGCACAGTACATGTATAATTCTTAAAAATAAATAAATAAAAAATAACCTCATAGTATAAACACTAACTGCTGGCAGAATTTTGACAGCATGTAGAATGGTTTTGTCACTCACCTCTAATATGTACTCCCCAGTTGATTTATCGTATTTACTCTGAAATTTTTCCTTGTCTAAAATGAGTCCCTTCGCTCGTCTCCATGACACCTCTGGTTTCGGGTCTCCTGTCACCAGGGCCTTGAAAACGGCTAATTTTCCTAAAGGATATGTTAAAGAATCTTTGTTCATTTTCTCATGAATACATTTTATTTAATTTGAGTCTGAGTTCATAATTTGAATAATATTTCTGAAACCCAACTGGTCAGTTTCAATGCCTTTCCTTGACGGGAAATTTCTGTCACATCATATCTTTTCTGTGACAAAACAGTTACAGAAATGCACCGGTTTCAGTGCTCTGTTGGAATATTTAAAAACCCACCTTCATTGATGGTTATTGGAGCTGGTTTAGACTTGAAATCTGGGGTGGTTTTTCCCTCCGGCAGATTTACTACATACTGTGTGATCATCACCCCAGGGGTCTTAGATCTTCTCCTGAGACCAACTAGTCAGAAAAAAATATAAAAAGAAACATATCGGTTAACTATGAGCATACTAAATTACTACAGCTTAACAAAACAAAAATGAATTCAGCATTGCAGGATCTTAAATGGATATTCAGACCAAGTCTGATTATACTTTGCTGCTTTTGGTAGAAGCGATTTCTCTTTTACTACCAGCAGATGTCAGGAATGTCGCACATATTCCCAGTGATGATTTGTGTGCATGATGACAGCAACTTTCTGGCAACTGTACAAATGGAAATTACAGCACAAAAATCTCTATTTATGTTGAAAGAAGTAACTGTGCAAGCTCATTATATTCCTGTTGAGCTAAGACTTTGCTTCCTGTGACATCTGCAGGTTTTTTACTTTTGCTGAAAGGTTTAGGTGTCAGCTTTTGCTCCTATGTCGCACCAGTTGTGCCAGTGTGTTGCTTATTTATGTCAGTTGGGAAAATAAGAAAGAAAGTCAACACCCCTAACCGCTAGAGATGGTTTTATGTTAAAATCTAAAGCTTGAAAAAGAAAACATGTCTGTCATTGTAAGGGACAATATTACTCTTACTGACGGAGGGCTGACCACATATGTTACTGCATAATTTATTTATGATGTATGACAAGTCTGTCCATGTGTAATGATAATCCACTAACTTTAACCACTACTTTACCAACAGAAAAACAAAAATATGCTAGCTGTGGTGGAGCTCAGGACTGAACCTGAGGACTGTTGCTATCTAATAAATGATTTAACTTTCTGACTCATCTGTCTGATGTAAAGAAAATCACACAGTGAAACTTGCTGTGATCGATCCTGTCTCCATGTCAAGAACAATGTAATTGATGAAGTCACCCTGTTGTGTAATGTGTGTGAATTTCTCTCTTTTGAGACCCTCATATGGATCCCGCTGCTGTTTGATGCTGCAGCTGTTCAGTAAAGTCAGAGTAAAGATTGCTACAAACAACCGGGAACAAAAAAAAAACAAAATTAAGCTCCGGTTACCATTTTGTCAAAATCCTGTTCATATTTATTATTGTTGAGTTTCTGTTAGTCAGTTTTCATCACAGTACAGTTTTATTTTTATGAACATTTCAGTTTGTTGTAGATTTCAGGGAAAAGTGAAAGAGTAAGTTGTTTTTTGATTTTATCTCTCTGATGCTTTTGGATGAATGTTGGTACTGAAACGTTGAAATAACCTTCCCGGAATCATATCATATATAGTAGGAAAGTAGGTTGTGATCTCAGATACAGATTCTGTCTCGTTTCCTCCAGTACACAATTTATACAACTAACATAAATACAAGAATATGTCTGAAAAAATTATGGCCTCGCTGTCTGAGCTGCGTCTGCCTGGATTTCATACTGGCCCAATTACTAGAGTTTGTTGTGTAACTGTGCAATAGTGTCGAGGCGTTACACTGATCCAGTGCTATTTTGTCACCAGTCTTTCTGGACCTTATATAGAAATGAGAGGCAGACCTTTGAGTCTTAAGACTGGGACCTTCCAGACTTAAACAGTTCATCACCTGTCAGAAATAATTGCAGATCTTTCCCCCCAAATTGCCATTATTTTAACTTTAATCCACACATTCAGTACATTGCCCCCAAAAGTTAAATGAATAGACTGCACACAGAGACACTCAGTTATTTCAAAAAGCAGTGCATGAAATCCACTCTGTGATCCTCTGCCTACCTACTTTGCCGCTAAAAATGTTCCTCTCGGGCACAGAGTGTGCGAAGATGGAGGATCACACAGGAGTCGATGGAGAACAACATTAATCCAGGGATTAATGATTATTATGACAAGGACAGAAATAGGAGAGCTTCCACCCTGTCAAATGTGTCACTACTTTAAGGTGGATGTTTCAGGTTATCAACAAAAAAAGGCGGGACAGGTCACAAGCCAACACAGAATTCAATAATACTTAATGTATTATTCAATATTTATTCCATTATTCATAATAATGGCTGTATTGTGTTCATACAGTGCAGCAGTTCATCGAAACCTTAAAAAAAAAAAAGACTTCTGTTTGTCTAGTAGAGGATAAACAAGCTCTCTTATGTCACCTGACTTGTTGCCAGACACCTCATTAAAATGTTGAATATATCGGTGAACCATGGAGAAACCTGGACGAGAAGAGATTACATGAGATTAGACAAGTGTACATAAGGGAATGCAGTGCTATGACTGAAGGACATAAAGTGGTGAATATATATACATATATATAAAAGCAGATGTTCACTATTGGTTGCCTCTGTGAAATTGCAGGTTACGTCCTGCAGGCATTTCCTCATATTTGTAGTACTGCTGATGATTATTTGAGTCGGGAGAAACTTTTGCTCACATTTGGTGCAGGTGTATGGATTATGGGAAGGATAGATATAAAACGAGAGAGAGAGAAATAATTAAGAGACCGACATAAACAGCCAGTGGAGAGGCTGGAAGTGAAGAACTCGGCAGGCAAACAGTAGAAATGCAGGACTCCGTATAGTAACTTTTTTCCATTAGCAGCACCGGTGCTCCCTGCTAAGAGTTTTAACAGCACCTACACAAAATCAACATGCCATGCACCACATCTGTGTATATCCATCTTGACTGTATTGCTGAGAAATGCTTTGCTAAGACAGTTCACAGAAATAACAATGAAACGCCTCAATGTGAAGTTGTGCTTAATGAGAAAAAAAAAAATGCTGTAAAGTGAGGCCCTGTCCACGTCTCTCTGCTGTGCAGTGAGACAACAGACCGTTGTCCTCAGTAAATCCAGTAAATGTTATCATTTTCAAACTCTGACTGTTTGAACAGAGCTGCTTTCTCTCTCACCAGGCTTTAACATTTCCACAGTTACCTGTTCTCACCACTGTCACAAGATGATCCCCCCCCCCTTGTTTACTAAAATCCTGTTTAGTTTTGGCTTTAGCTTAAGAGAAGATGCCAAATTATTGGAGATCATTAATCCAGTGATATTTCTTCAGAGAACATTCAGAGGAGGCTTTAGATAGAGCACCCTCATTAATCCTGGAACTCACTTATTCCTTCTGACGGCAAGTTGAAAGATTTTTCAACTCAAAGTAACATTAACAAGTTAATGTATTACATTAGCAATATTAGATCAACGTCAGCTTCCTCTTTTATAAATGTAAATGAGTGCCGCCTGCATTCAGTTTGTCTCGGTGACGTCTTGTCTAACTCTCGCTGAGTTTAGTTCATACAGCTGTTTCTTTCAAGAACTATAGCATCACTTAACATTCCTGCCAGACACAAACCGTACAAGAGGTCACTGCTTCTGAACAAGAAAGTGCGACGTAATGGTCGCTGTCTGGAGCGCCGAAATGCAAACGCTTATTGAGGCCTGAATAAACTGAAGCACTGAGTGGGTCACAGTAAAGGGCAGCAGACTGGCAGCTGTAATCCAGGGATGTTTTCTTCTCATCCTCAGTTTATTGCTGAAACCTGGGAGAGAAGACCTTTAGTCAACAGGATGCCCAAGTGCCTGTCAGTAAAGGTCCAGTGAATCCTGTAAGTTAATGGAAAGGGTCGCAGGTCTTCAAAGTTTGACTGTTGCCATGTGGGCACCCCGGTCACTATTTGAATGCTCTGTTAGGCTTTGTTTTTTATGATATATGAAAGAACATGAAATAAGACGGACTAATCCAGCATCATTCATGGTGCATCAACTCTAATTATTATCATACGGGGACATTTAATCTTGGTGCATCAGAGGTCTTAATCTAATGTTACCAGCACGCACACTGGGACACATGTTCACATGACAGGCTTACAAGTAACAGCTATGCAAGCAGGATCTCAATCTGAGGTCTGAAATAGCATTAAAATATGTGACGATGGCCCCCAAAATGTAGAGAATCACAAATCTAAAGCCTAAAAACTACAACAGCTTAGTTGTCTTTGCAGCTGCGATGTTACAGATATGTAATCATAGGTTGCCTACCATGGCTTATTGGCATGGTATTGTAGGTGTAGTCAGCATCTCTCTTGGTGCCACCACTTCCAGAGTCTTAGCTACAGTCGAATAATTCTCACAGAAGCTACAGAATCCCAAAAATTGTGTTCAGGACAGCCCTGAAAAAAGTTTTTTTTGACCACTTGGGAGCAACAGGAAAGGTTGTGAATACAACGCTGACATATTTACAAGTTCTTTTTCTGGCCATCTGATGAATGTAGTTCCAATTCCGGCTCTTCTTTAGCCTTTAAATTAAAAAGGCTCGGCCTCCTTAATTATTTGTTGACTCCAGCTATATGTTATATTTTGGCAGGATTAGTGGCGGCTCATTTCCCTCCACTTTTGGTGATGAACTATCTTGCACACTGTTAGCTGTATATGAGACAGTAATTAGCTTTGCTTGTGTAAAAGACTAATGTCTGCTTTCATTACAGATAATTACTACCAAACGGTGTTACAAACCAATGCTTAAAAATCTTTTTTGTTCAAAATGATAACCCTGTATGGATAAATTTTTCTTTCACGTATGTTTAATTTGTTGCAAAATAGTTTTTCTCTCTAAACAATACAGCTGAGCCAAAGTATTTTTGGCTTAAAAATCTGACTACTGCTGGACTGTCCTTGGTATTAAGGACGAGTAAATATATGAATCTTTATGATCACATGACCTCTAGGCCGCAGCATTTACGAGTACAACTATTTGCATAACTTCTCATAAAAGACATAATTTGTCAAAGCAATACAACTACCTTTAACATTTAGAAAATGTTAAAGCAATAAAACTGTCTTTAACATTTAGAAAATGTTATTCATACCAGAAATGGATCACAAAATAATATGACAGCCCATTATGTTAAATATGGCTGATGTCTTCTCTGAGGAAACGCATAACTGGTCATTTTCATAATTTTTCTTGACACTGTTTGCTTGACTCATCTGCAGAAGACTGGATAGATATTAAGTATAATGGAAGAGAAAGAGGCAAAAAAAGAAAAGAAAGAATTTTGGTACTGTACTTTGTCTGGTGGGAGCTGAACCTGTGTTCTTCCCTCTTTTCCACATTTTGGCAGGAGTTGATTTTCAAAAGGGCGACCTGCAAAAAAAAGTGATCATTAGAACCAATCGCAAGGCAAAGTGTCAGTGTTGCTTTGCATTATAAAATATTAGCTTTCTAGATTTGTTTTGTATATGTTTTTTTCCTGCTTTGTGGTATTTTTGCAAAGAATTTTTTTTTTTTTTTTGTACTAACAGTTCAGATAAGATGGACATTTCTATTAGTGGCTTGATATGGTTCAGTTTTTTAGCACCACAGAGCCTCATTGAGACGGCTAACATGCAAAGCCTTTAATGACCAAGTTCCATCACATCTAAAAGGTCTTATTGTACCACATTGTCCCAATAGTGCACTCTGCTCTCAGAGTGCAGGCTCGCTTGTGCTGGCACAGGCCTTGACCCTGAACCATCCTTTAGTTATGCTGCTGTAAGTCAAGGCTGCTGGAAGACTTCCCACAATGCACTAAGCAACCCTTTTCTCCTCTCCTCTCTTTCACTTGATACATTTATATAATGTTATTACATGTCTTTAGCTTTGTGTCTTCTTTCTCCTGTGTGATTCGTCCTCTGTGAGGCAACCTCTGACTCAGAGCTACGCTTTTCTAATCAGCAGTTACTGGCTCCACCAACCTCCTCAGTGCTCTCTTATGCATTGTTTGTCTGTTTTCTCTCTGCTATCCTTTTCCATCTCTCACCTCCTCACCCTGACCAGCTGAGGCAGATGACCACATTCCCTGAGCCTAGGTCTACTGGAGGTTTCTTCCTTTTAAAGGAACTTTTTTTTTTTCTCTCACTGTTGCCAAATAGCAAGAGAATCATTGTATTTGTTGGGTTTTTCTCCATAATATAATATTGTGGGGTCTTCACCTTAGGACATGATGTGTCCTGAGATGCCTTGTGTTATAAATTGGCATAATATAAGTAGAACTGAACTGAACTAACTGAAAATAAAACTGCCGTACCTTCTGGTATCTCTTGAGGGGATAAATAATAAAAATATGTTATGCTTTGAGACTTCCATGTGGAGAAAGGTCAAAAATTGAACCACTATGTTTTTTTTGTGTGTTTTTTTTATGACCTCAGGCTCACTCATTCCTGTGGTCAGTACATGCAGTGAGGATTACATGTGCCTTATGTGCAAAAATCAATTCAGTCGGTGAAATGCATTCAAAAAAGGATAGCAGCAGTTGCTTGTTATGTAAGACAAAGTATTAAGCAACTACATATCTCTAACATAGTTATGTATATACATTTAAATGATGCATATTATTATTTTTAGGATGAATCTGAAGGCTTTTAGACAATAAGACTTTGGACATTGTGATGCCAAGTCTCACTGACTTCAAGACCAACACTGAAACACAGCCTCCAAAGCTATAGTTAGCTGCAATCATATGATAAGTTCATATGGTTACACAAAGCTTATAGAGTGATGCTGCTTGAATACCTCGATTCCCAGAAAGATGCTCAGATTTAGGTGCTGTTAATACATCAATTTAGTTAAAGTATGGCAATTATAAATAAGATAATAACCTGACAAATATAGACAGAGTGCGGGGTAGTGATATGCAGCGATATCTTTGTTACAGCTGCATGTTCATTTATCTGTTCACATTGACACAGTGATATTTGCACCCAGTTTGTAATTTATCATGGGTTTGTAAGGATGTAATGAACCAAATGACAAAATCTGTCTGTCATACATCACCATGCAGAGCACACCAAGACTTAAAAATCATTTCTTTGATCCCATCTTTTTTTTTTTAAGTAGAAACCTCTGATTGCTCTTCAGAGCAGCCTGTAAACTCTCCCCAGTTCTTCTATCAACACATAATCCACCCGGATATCATGCAGAAGTGAAGGTTGAGCCATGACCAGGATGTACCTTTGGTCAGACACAAACAAACAGAGAGAAGAGTGGTTTACCTGTCGACTGGTTTATAGATGTGGTCTAAACTCGCTGCCTCCTGGGTTTCACAGGATGTTAAATCCTTTGGGAAAACACGTTTGCTGCCTGCAAGCAACTGCCAAAGAGAGGCTTCTTCTCAAAGAGAGTCAGATGGATGCTCAGAGCGGGTGGGTTATTATTATTGAGGGGTAGTGGGGTGGAGGGGGAATGGGGCCTCACTGGATGAGGTAAGGCAGGATGAATAGCCAGAGGGAGAGGGAAGGGCTACCAATGACAAGTTAGTGGTGAAGTTTATCTCTCACTCCAGTAATTACTGATGACAGTGCACTCATCTTTCAGAGAACAGCTGCTGACAAGGAAATGATTGGTGACTTCATTTTGTTTGTGTGGTCTCTGATTCTTGCAGATACCACGTTGCATGTCCTACATGCATACGACTGTCAGTTAAACAGTGAAGCCGCACTTTACTTTAGTGGGGATATCAGTTCCAGTTAAGCAGTGTTAATTGCTGAAAATGCAGGCAACTGGCTTATTATTTAAAAGATACAGATTAGAGTTTGAGCTGGCACCACAGGGCGTAATTTCAAGTGTGCAGCATTAAAAGCTGCCTCCAAATGTGGTGATTTAAGTGGTGGCTGGCAGGTAACTTGGCAGAGGGGACCAATGCTATTAATTTGGAGTGTGAAGATACTGAAAGAATGTGACTTAAAGTCATACTCTCTTTTGAGCTTTTAGGTGATGTGATGTTGAAGCAAATTCAGTTGGATTCTGGCGTGAACTGTGCCCTTGCCTGGATATTAGCGAAGATCACATGTTGCGAACAAGGCACTTATCCCCTTGTCTGCAGTGTGCTTCTTATATTACGATACATTACATAATCAAGGTTATGGCATTTATGTGGTATAAGCTCCTCTTGTTATTGCTTAGAGGCAGTGGTGACTTTGGAAAGGGAAGATCAAATGAAGAACAAGGCATTAATGCTCTCAAGGTCAAATACCAGAATGTCCATTACATTCATCCCATAACAATATAAACCATGTATAACTCTGTCTGCTTTTAAAATGTGTAATGTGCGCCACTTAAAATGGATGAAAAAATATTGACTAGATGTCCCTGCAGCAAGTGAGAAAGCCAGCCATTGATGTTTAACACACTTTGTTTTTGCAGTTGCTGATCTAATTTCCTTATGGGAGGTAACTATATTTAATTCCTGTTATGTTCTCTCCATGGAAACCAGTTTGTTTTTTGCCACATTAGCAGCATGACTCTAGAAATGGCAATGCTGTTTTTTCCGTCAGCCTGTTGGTCCTTTGGTTCACCGCTCAGGTCTAGAGAAACAACTACAGACCAGAGCAGGGCTGAACGATACAGCTGAAGATTTAATGTGATAAAATGTTTCATTTTACTCTTTTGATAATTACTGGTGATTTTTTTATTTAACTATTTCTAAAAAAGAACAGCAGACAAAAGGTTTACTTTGAATGTTATGACCTTACTATAAATGTAACCACATTGCCAATCAGGGATCACAGATAATATTTTTTTTTGTTTTTTTTTAATTACACACGAATAAATTAAGATACATAAATATATAGGGACAAAGAAACAATCTGACCTTTACATGCTTTGATGCAAACTGACCTAACATTCATCAAATGCAAACAAATGTTTGAAACTTTGAACTTAATCAATAAAATTTGTGCGATGTTGACGGGGTGTTTTTTTTTTTCTTTTTTTTTTTAAATGTTGGGTATCTGGAAGGACTCAGAGAGCCATCAGAGTGAAGCCACCACAATGTGCTTTAAAATTAAAAAATGATGGACCAGGGCTGGGTGTCACTCAAGGACCTTGTACCAAGCTCCATTTCAAGTCCATCGGTCTTCAGAGAAGGCCTTGGGGAGTGCATCACTTAGGTGGAGGATGTGGGGGACTTTGATTCATGGGTGTTTTTGTTGTTGTTGTTGTTGTTTTTATCATGAAGCCTGTCTAACATGTACAACTGCTGATTCCTGGCGGCCACAGACTCCAGCAGGAGAAAGCTGCAGGCGTAGATGGGCCTACCAGAGGCTCAGGCAGCTACAGACTAGCATGCCTCAGGAGACCGGCATGTAAGGCAACAGACGATACAATGGAGGATGAAGGGGCCTATTATCAAGGGTAGGCTGTTATGAGCAAAGGAGCACGCTTGGGATTTGTTCATGTAACTGAACTTTATGTTTTATGTGTGCTTTCATGGTGGTTTGTATCTAATCCATTGAAGTCAAACTACTGAACAATTTTCTTTTTGCTACTAAGTAAAAAGTCTATCACTGCCACATATTGCTATTGTTTCATTGCCCAGGCCCACTTCTATTCTCACATGGCATACTACTGTGATCATGCTATGTGAAACACAAACACAATGCCAGACAGGTTGTAACATGCTAACATGACACCTCGCAAATACATATTGGCATACAGCAATCCCTAACACATGTACAGACAAAGCTTGGACTAATGAAGTGCTGTCTGAAAATGCAAACCTGAGCCCGAGAAGTAGACCTGATATTTCCTAGCCTGGATATTTTACAGTAAATAAACCCACAACACACACTTACCTCTGGTACTACCAATTCTATCCAAAAGTTTTACATTCTGGTGGTTAATAAGTGAACCCTCATGGAATATTATAAGTGCCACTTCAAATATCCAAACCTCTGTTTCCCCAGGGTAACATTTTTTTAAACACCAAATTCTGATCTCTAAACGTATGTCCCCATGTACAAAATACATTCTACATTTCCATATTAGTCTGATTTTGGCCAAAACACAAGTGCCAGTACCACGAAACCTGCTTCTGTGAAATGGCACACCATGGAAACTGCTCGTGGACTGAATAATAGATGGAAATACAAGCTTGCAACACGTTGGATGTGTCTGTCTCAACAGCCATAGAATCTACTAGCACAAGGTCCAAACGGTGCCAGCGTCCTGTCATGCTTGTCCTTCCACGTGCAGTACCTCTAATGCATCTGAATAGGCTCTTAAGTTGGCCTGAGCTCACATAAACCAGCTGGATTAGGAATTAAAGCCCCTCGGCCTACCCTCCTGATATTGATGAAATGTCATCCTGCATAGCTTTCATTCCAGTCATGGGGAACCACAGAAAGCTGCCGCTGAGGTGCTAACTAGACAGGCTGGCCTGTCTCTCTGTAGTGCAGATTGCTCTTCTGAGGGAAACCTCAACAGTACATCAGCTGAGGCCTTGTCACTCACTCTTCAACAAGGAGTGAAATTATTCCTAATTGCGCCTCAATTAGAACTTCAGTGTGGCGCACAACAAAAAATCTTCGCCTCTAAACAATCAAAAGTTATTTTAACAAGATCAGGCCATTTGAGTCATGGTAGCTCAAAATGATTAGAGAACAGTCATGGTTTATGTAGACATAGCTAACAATAGATTGGATTGTAGTTGAATTTATATGTTGGAAGTCACAACTAGCTATTATTCTGTCCATGGTCTGTACTTTTTGGTGTTTTATTCAAATGATGTTTGCTGTTGTTGTGTAGTGACATTCAAATGCACATACACAAGACAAATAAGGGATCTTTCACAAGTAGACATGGCAATATGTTCAGGCATACAATTTCTCAAACATCCAAGTTTTTAATATAAACAGTAGGTACACATTTATGCCTTGCATGATTTTAGGAATAGTAGCAAACACACTCTGGGTTTTGTATCTTTTATGGATTCTGCAATATTTAAGTAAAGGAGACATCTGCACTACACATGCTCTTAAAAAAAATCTCCATGTGTGCAAGTGAAAATTGTACAGGAGATATTTTCCATTAGCAAAATCTGAAGTATATTCAGGTTTCTTGTTGTTCCATCAAAACTTTGACACTCAACACTTTCTGGTGCTCGACAAACAAATCCGGGAGCTAAAAAAAAAATACACTGGTTTTGATAAAAAACATGAGTGTGAGGCAGTGCAAATATAATTTTGTGTGATATTGAGAACATTCTCACATTTTGCTGAGGAAATAAATGGTAAATAAATAAATAAGTAAACACTTATTTTGAGCTTTTTTTAAAACTTAGGTTCCAAAGCGCTTTGCAATGGGTTTCTCATTCACCTGTTCACACAAATACACTCACACCAATGGTGCCAAGAAATTAGTGTGACAGTTATAAAACTATGTGAGAAAGCACGAAGAATTCATGTAAAACCCGGAATCATTAATGTTAACTCACTCCAATTGATTTTACCTTTATAATATAGATATGAGCTACTATCCCTGCATTTCTGATGGGATCAGAGACCATGTTTTACTGACTAATTCTGACATTAACTGGTCATTCTGATGACAATATAAATATTATGAAGGACATTTCTCCTTATCTGTGGCGAGCATGGATGGGACAAAGCAGTTTGGTTATTCTGGACAACAAGTGATGTTAAAAGATCCAGGCAAGCTGCTGGAAACTTGATTATACTGTAACACTTATGATACTTTTGAAGATCTAATGTTTCTATAGCTTGGCTATTGGACAGGTCATGTTGTTTCTTTCCACAGTTCAGCCACAATATTAAAAACACCTATCAAATACTGTTAGGGTCCCGAACGTGCCACCAAAACAACTCTGAACCGTCAGGGCATAGATATAGGACCACTGGGGGTTGTTGTCCGACACTGGGGCATTGACAGTGGAACCTTTGGATCCTTCAGGCTCTAGTGAATGCTTGACTTAATTGGATCTAAGGAGTTTGGAGACTGAACTGACACCTTGGGCTCTTGGTTGTGTTCCTCGAGTCTTTCCTGAGCAGTTTTTGCGGTGTTGCATTGTTCTGTAGGGGTAGTGTGCTTGAACTGGAACAATTTCCCTGAGCTACCCAACCAAAGGGATCAATGAAGTTCTATCTATCCAAAAAAATAATAATAAAAAGTTCTATGTATCTATTTAGTTGGGTGGTATGTAAGCAACATAAATGCAGGACCAAAGGTTTCTCCACAGAATATTGCACTGTGATGAAATGATCAATGTTACTGATCTGTGATTGTTATGTGTATGTTAAGAAGAACAATATTGTTAGTAAGTATCTTACTGAACATGTTTATGTTCAATCC